TATATATATATATATATATATATATATATATATATTGGTGTTTAGTGATATGATAAGTTAAAATATAATATAATACAACAATAAAAGAATAAAAATAAAATATTAAATTTAAAAAAATAATTATAATAATTTTCTCTTTCTTACTAACTTTTTTGTCAACCTTAAAACTTTATTTGACTACTTTTGAAAAAAATTGCTTAAATTTTTAAAATAATTTACTTATGGATTTTGAAAATTATCAAGTAATAATTGCACACAAAGTTTTTTTCAATGAATTTTGTTAGATAAAAAAAACATAAGTTAGTGTTCTTTTTTAAATTTTTTGTTTATAATCATCATAAATCTTTATGTAATTTATATATATTTTTTAGAGACATAAATTTAATGAATTTAAAAGGTCGATAGTTTTTTAAATGATGATTTAATAACATGATGTATCAACTAGAATAGAATGAGACTTTTGAGATATTTAGTATTTACTTTTTTGGAATAAAAATAGTAATAATATTATTCACTTTCTATTTTTTTAAAGAAAAAAAGTATAAGCATGAATTTCAAAATACACCATTGGTTTTATTGTAATAATTAATTGACATTTTATATTGTTGCTTCATCATAAAAATATATGATTAATAGTTTGAGTTAGCATTAATGAGTAATTTGTATATCAAATATTTTCGAATGTATACATCTAATAAGTATTTAAAATTGATGATATTATAGTACGTTTTAAGAAGATATTCTTCCTAACATAAATAAATAAAGAAATTAATTATAATAAAAGAGTTTTTAAGTATAAAAATTTATTCTTAATAAACTCACGTTTTTTTAAAAAAAATATGATCATTAGTTTAGTTAAATGAGTTTAATGAATCAAATTAATCTATTGTTATAAAAATGTAATGACCCGAAAAATCAATTTTTTAAAAAATTCTAAACTATTCTTTTAACTTTAGTTAATTTGTTGATGGGTAATTATAGATAATTAAATTAATTGAAAGTTAGTGGATTAAAGTGATAATTTATTTAAGACCATGTACTATTTAACTATTATATATTGAAATAAGAAGTAGGGTTTGTCAATTTAGTACATAAATTAGAAAATAGATAAAAGAGGAGAACATAAGTCACCTGCGCTAAGAGGCGATCAATGTGGGAATCCAAACTTCACTTTTCAAGTAAAGAATTACTCGTGTTTCGTTAATATCCTACGGCTAAATTTAAAATTTTGCATATGAATTGTATTGTCGTTATATTAAGTGGGTTGGAAGAAAGAAGGTGAAAATTGTTAATGGTGCAACAATTTTTGGGGACAAAACTGTAGCCTAATCATTGCCTAATGATAAAGGCACTGGTAATTCTAGCATTTCAACACAATGAACCATATTATTAATGTCACTTATTTTCTTATTTTTTTAAATATGCCTTATAGTCTTTATATTTTAAATAATCCTAGTTTGGTACATTATTATGTGTAACTAAATATAATGGTAAAATTATATGAAAACAATTAAATTTATGATAATGGAGAAGTTGAAACTTAACCGTAGACTTGAAATTTAGAAATATGAGAATTGATATGTTACTTGACATCAAGATTTGGAACTTTATTATAGATTTGAGTGTTGTTAATTAGTCTTGAAATCTTATGTAGGTCATTTTTTTGAATAGATTACTTTGAGTTGAAAGTTCAACGAAAGAGGAAGGCTCAAGTTTCAGAATGAATTCTTGATTGATTGAGGCAAGTGAATTTCTAAACTCTTGTTAAGTGTAGGAAATGCGTGTATTTCCTGTTGGTATATATTTGGGAGTAATGGGACTTGGTGATGGTTTGACTTGTTCACATCAATTAATTCTAATGATGAAAACAAAGGGTAATAAAAAGGCAATGTGAATAATTGCTTGTGTGTGATGTGTTGATAATAAAGAATGGTTTGAAAGGCTTGTTGAATCATTGTTGATGTTGTTGTGAATTGTGCAGTGTTATGAAAATGGGTGTGTCCTCTTTATTTGTGTGAACATGTCATTTGCATTATTTTAAGACATGATTGTGACAAGTGTTATGTGCATTGAGAAAGAATGAAAACTTAAAGAGGATGTACCATTTCGAGGGACGTATCGCGCGCCGCGATGGTTATTATTATCGAGGGTCGTGTCATGCGCCGCAACAGATGCATAGATAGATATGTCCTACATGGGTCCCGGCCTGAGAGACAGCGGGTGTGTATCACTAGGTCAGACATGCATCATTATACTTGACATTGCATTCCATTGCATTGCACATACTTAGTGAACTTGATATTGTGTTTTGTTGATCTTGTAATTGCCTTTCTGTGAAACTTGTGATTGTTGAATACTGAGCTTGTTATTGAGGATATGTAATTTGTTGATGTGTTGTTGTTGAGGATATGTAATTTGTTGAAGTGTTGCTATTGAGGATATGTAATTTGTTGAAGTGTTGTTGTTGAGGATATGTAATTGGGTAAAGTGTTGTTGTGGAGAATATGTAATTTGTCTAAGTGTTGTTGTTGAGTTACTTTCTATGTAAATTGTGAGCTGTTAGGTTGGACTGATTTTTATGCAGCTTGTAGTTGTGGAGGTTCGGTTGGGGGTGGTAGGAGTACCCGTATTTGATCCCCTTAGCTTGTGTTTAGGGATTTACTTTCTTAGTACCGTGTGGTTTTGGTACTCACCCCTTACTTCTACAATTGTTTGTAGGTTACTAGTCCGGACCTTTTATGATATATTCTCTTCTTTTCCGAGGCTTCCTGGAGATTTGTGAGGTAGTTGTTGATCATCTCAGCATCCCTCCTTACTCCTATTTATGATTTTGTTCTAGTCTAGAAACAATATCATATGAGACTTATATTTTCTTTTGATTCAATTGTAATATTTTAGAGGCTTGTACACGTGACAATTAGGTTTTTTGGGTATAATGTAAGTTGATAGTAAATTTCCGCATTTTATTGTAATAGTTGCGTTTTAGGCTGACTTGTCTTGGTGGGATAAGACGAGTGTCATCGCGTCCATTTTTGGGTCGTGAAAAAAAAACTTTAGTGACATGTCAACTAGGAGAGAATAAGACTTTTGATGTGTCAAATATATTTGAAAAAAATAGTAATAGTTGAATGATATTTTGGTCCTAAATGAAACATAAATGATATTATGTTCTTATTTATAATTAAGAATTAATAAAACTATCTTCTGATATTGTTATACTCAATAAAAGATTTAATTTCCCAACATTGTATATGTTGGATTACAGTTTTTGCTTTGTTTTCCGGATTTAAGATTTAGTAATATTATAGATTTTTAAATATTTTTTATAAATTAAATTTGGGTGAAGTTTCAAAAGTATTTGATCATAATTTTTTAGAGATATATATTTTTATTTACTTAAAAGAAAACATGAAACATGACTTGTAATCATATTTTCTACAAGCTATCAAAAAAAATCTATAACTTGACATAAAATTACCATTTTTACATTAAAATGGACACCATATTATTCTAAATTACAATATGATATTATAATAAAAACTATTAATAACAGAGTGAAGAAGAAAAATTACAACATACATAGTACCAACTATTGCTTGATATATCTTACTAATAATCTTCTGATAGCAAGCATGTATTTCTAAATCAAATTACTGAAAAGTGAAAAGCAAGATAAAGTTTGTTGGGGTAAATAATATATGAAAATTTATATTTTGAAATTTTGGGATTTGTTTTTCGAATATCTTAAAAACTAGACAAATAAAAATTGCCAAATCAAATACAAAATCTGTAATCAAATGATTCCTTAGAAATTTTGATTTATAGATAATAAATATTAGTTTATAGATCCGATTCAATTCAGTCTAACACTAACCTATAACCTAAATTAACCCTATCTGTTGTGTCATCTTCTTTCTCATTTTCTTAGGCAAAGTCTGAAAATTTTTTTAACGGCATTATAAAGATTCATTTTACTATTCATCCAAATAATGAAATTCGCTTGTTTAAGTTTTATACCAAATACAACCTCGTCGTGTAAACTTTCAATTAATTTGACATGTTGGTGAATTTTTTCTTTTTACTACAAACGTGATTCCCAATGAGGTTGATTTGGGTTATGGGTTAGAGTTGAGTTGGATCGCATCAGGTCATGATTTATTGCCATGAAATGAGAAAAAATATTATGTGAACTAAATAAAAAAATGTCATGTCATATTTTGGTGGTCAAATATGAATAGGGTAATTATGAAAACATACAGACAATATTGGATGATCTTGTTAAAAAAAATATAACTTTATTGGATATTTAGTGAAAGATAGCCCGAAATGGTTCAATTGTTGCAGCTCCGTCTAATTACTGGTTGCTAAAATTGTTTTCTTTTTTTTTTAAAAAAAACTGATTGAATTGATTTTATCATATGCATAGACATAATTATGATATAATAAAATAAGCACAGGCTTTATATATATATATATATATATATAATGACGGAGCCAGGATTATGAAGGGATTCAACATATAAAGAAGTAAAGAAAAAAATAGAGCAAAACTGATCGGGGAAGAAAAGTATTATTCTTAATCCGTTAAATTTATTTTGACTTGTCATTCTGCGTTTAATGGTTCTTCCTATTTTTATCTTTCTTCATTGATTTTATTATTATTTTTAAATGACTTTTTATTATTTTACTTTACTTTAAAAAATTTAAATAAATTAAATTAGTGTTCTTTTGATCACATGTTACTTTAAAAAATGTATAATACTCTTTACAAATGTGTGGGGAATGAGTTACCAATATTATAATGCATATTAAAAGGACAAATTAATGGCATCGCCAATTTTTTGTTCATTTATTCAACTTATAAGGTCAATCGGTGAAAAAAAGAGACAAATAACTCAAATAAATATAGCTTATATCTATCTAGAATAGAAATGAAAAAGTAAGAAAGAAATATCATGAATAATAAAGAGATATCATGAATAATCATGCCTTTCAAATTTATTCGTTCGATTAAGTTTTGTTTAACTTACCTTTAAAATATTTTTTCTCTATCTCAATTTCAAGTTTAAGAATAATTGATAGTTTTTTAAAAAGTTCCTTTGAATTATAAAAAGAAAGTTACGTAAAAGTAAAATGAGTAATAGAGATAGAAAGAATAAAATACAAAAAATAAATATAATGTTCCTCCGACATTTGAACAAATGAATATTGAAGAGAAATAACATGGAAACAAAAAAAAAAGCAATTTACAAAAATGATTATAGTTATAGGGATATTGAATTTTAATAGCTATAAGTATGATATTTATAAAAAATAACTACAATTTATGTCTATATCTAGCTGGTTGTATAACTTTTACTATTATTATTATTTATACAGTAATATAGTTACAATTTTAATTCACTAAATAAGATAATTTATGTTACAACCCTTTAATTACTTCCATAAACTCTTAACTTTCCATTATTAAATTACCAATTAATATTTACCTATTGAAAACATATATATATTCAGATTCCATTTAAATAAAAAAAATATTGGATACATTTTACCCCATTCTTTTGTTGTCTCATTATTCTTACTTCATTGTTCTTATTCAGACGTCATAAATATATTTATAAAATTTTGCTTAGTTAAATTTATATATTATATTTGCTGAATTGATAAATGAATCTTATTTCTTTCGATTTTAAAGAGTTGAACTCCATGAGAAGCATAACATGTGCGGTAATTTTGATTTTTGTAAATCTACTTATGCGGCGCTTCAATCGGACGATTCAACACATATAATACAATTTCCTACTAAGAAAAATGTATTATTTAATTTATATAGTTAGCATATGAATACTTTGATTTCAAATGGATACAATGACTTATATAACTTGATGTATTAATATATCTAGGATACAAATCACCATAAAACTTAATGTATTAATATATCAAACTTGATAAAGTATATCAATTTAGCAACAATTTAAATACATTTATCTTATGAATACACCTATATAATTTACATATGACTACCTTTGTTGTTAAACAAAAATACATGGACAACCCAAAAATAAGAAAAATAGAACATAACACAATGTGAGTATCTAAGTGTATTCAAATATACTTATATATCCTAATCAACCTTTCAACTTGTGATGATATTTCAATACAATTGGGCAATTTAAAAAAACGACTATGAAATATAATACAATATAAGTATCCAGATGTATAACCATTTTACTGTATAAAAAATTGAAAAATACAAACCATCATAGAATTTAATGTATTAATATATCAAACTTGGTAAAGTATATCAATTTAGCATAAGAGCACAACAATTTAAATAGTTACCTTATTAATACACCTATATAACATACATTTGAATACACTTGTTGTTGAACAAAAATTGGATACATGGACAACCCAAAAATAAGAAAAATAGAACATACTACAATGTGAATATCCAAGTGTATTCAAATATAATTATATATCCTAATCAACCTTTGTTCATGTCCATCTTGTATTACTTTTTTTACAACTATATACGTATGAATATAACTTATTAATTTTTTCTTCTGCTTTTGTTGTACAATTAAATCTTAATGTCTCTTTTCTCCTGTTTTTGTTGTACTACTTTTTTCCACTGCTATTGAAATCAACGTAGGAAGTTCATCCAATAATTCATCAAATAAATGTATATTGGAGTACTGATTTTCACCATTATAATGAAAAATCTTCAATTGAAACTCTA